TGATGACAACGGTGGCGACAGCGACGGCATCGAAGGGCGCGACTGTCGCGGGATAAAGACAGGCCGGGAGAAATATCGTGGTTGAATAGTTTGCTTATTAAAGGCTTCAGTGGAGTGTAAAAATAAAGTAACACAGAGGAGGACCCTTCCTTCGACCAGAACGCGCGATAACGCAGCGATGAGAATCACTTCGCGCACTGAGAAAAATCTGGTAATAGCTACCAAATGTTGAGTGAAATAACGTCAATCAAACGTTCGGTTATAACGTAACCAAAAATTATTTTATCCTCTTAAATATTTAGTAAATGTTACCATTTGGTAATAGTATAGAGATACGTTAAAATTGAAAAGAGAGGAAAAGAAATATGCTTCAACGAGAAAATTACTTATTAAATAAAAAGATATATAAAAATCGATATTATGTGTTCTGGAGGATTAATTTTGCCTATTCGACGAATTTAAATAAATTCTGAATTTATTCTAGACGCGACGACTTTCTATCGATTGTCGCAGAAACGAGGTGAAGAATCGCAAGGTTTTACGCTGGGAAGCTCGAGGAGAACGGAAAATATGTATAAGAAAGCGAAGATGTCGCAGTTGGTTCACCTGAAAAGGTGAAAAATGGCTCCGTGTGGAAACCCCTCTGTAGCTCCCTTTTTGTTCCATGACCTGAACTCGTTACAGTCGTTTTCTATCTTTCTTCACCTCGGAAACGAGACCGGGAAGATATCTAACGTCGAAGGTAACGGATAGCTTGACAATAGAATGTGTCTGCGAAGTCCTCGTCTGTGTTGCGTAAACTATCTCGCAGAAATCCGAGACGAGTGATATCAAATCGTTCATAGCGCTCGATCTTTCGCATGGTTTCAACGCATCTATCGATTGGTTGTTTTATTTAGATCTTCCTCCTAATTTCTATGTGATTCGAAGGAGAAATAAAGCTTATAGCTATTACTAACTGTTTGCAATTCTACGTCAAGTCAGACTGGACATAATACGTCGCATAATTCTTCACACATTCGAATTTTTTCGTAGTATAGGTTTTGGGATTCTTAATATGAACACAAAGGACTGTCCTTTGCAATAAATCGCATTTCAAGAGCGCGTTTCCAGTCTTCTAATCCTCCTCTTGTAAGTAAAAAAAGTTCTTTGATTTATGTTAGCCAATTAGATGAAACTGAGGCTGAAATACTTGATCTTCGCTCGTTTGCGAGAAATAGTTTGAATCGTAAAGGGTTAACTGTTAATAAACCGCACAAAGTTTGCAAGGAGGAGACATGAATGATTCGCATTCACGAGCCGTTGACCGTTGCTTCCTAATCTCTCCGGTATTACATTCAGGATGATTATCGGTTTTGGTTTCACAGTGCGAGATCCGACGAGATCGGTATCTAGTTATGGTTCGATTGGTTCAGGAATTGTTGCGAGTTTAGATTAGTGTCCATCGAGATGGGACTTTAGGTGCGCGTTGGAATGCACACAGGAATGAACGATTGACTTGGGTCGGTGTAGAAGGCAAGATGCCGATGGAACCGCGTTTCGAAAGGGGGCCGGCAAACGGTTGATCGATGCTTCGTGGCCTTCCCTCGTTATCTCACGGAAACTCGGTGCGTTCTATCGATCGGATATACCTTCCTGGGCCGTTCGGGCTTTCGGCCTCCACCGGAGCGACCGAAAGCCTCTTTTGCTCCGGATTTCGCACGGAGAGCTTCGTGGAAGAGAGACGCGAAGAGCCGACCGGGGGATAGAATTCTACGTGGGTGGCATACGCCGTCTGCTAGAAGCCAAGCTCGGAGGTGACCGGAAATTGTCGAGAATCTTGTCGATCGCGATTAGTTAATTAAATGCGACTTTCGACAGTGACGGGGCGCGTGTTACTCGAATTACGGCATATCGATTTTTCGTTGATACCGTGTCGATCGGATAAGAAATTAAGAAGCTTAAGCCGACTTTCCGGCTTAATTTCTGCCTTTTCAGGCAGGTGTTATGACAGACAATCATCTGACTTTACTATCTCTCGATCGAATAATCGCCAGATGTTTCTATTTATAAATTTCGAGTGATCATGAGTGCAAAACCACGAATGAAAATTGCGCGTTACATTTATACTACACACGTACTTTTACTTTTATAGTATACATATAATTTTCATTGTCACACTAAAAAAATATTTTTTAACAATTATGTTTTATTTATTTTATTCTCGCAAAAGGAATAGTGAGCAAAAAAAGGAAGCCTTCGATCTGATCCTTTTAGAATTTTTTTGCAACTCTGTTATTAATTGTTATTAATAGCACGATGGTTAAATTAAAAATGTATCAAGTGTATAATCTTTGCAAAAAGTGACTGAAATTGAAAATTTACATTTTCCGTATAAAAAGGAGTGTTTTATATATATATATATGTATGTATAAAACAGTTCAATGAGGTTGATATTTATATTTAAATATACTATTTTTACTATTTTATAATTTAAAGGATTTTTTTTATTTTATCTTAATTATTTTTTAAAAATATGTCTTATTGAAATATAAAATTTAAAAAATCTCTACTTTTTATTAAAATAATTATTTATTCAAATTCTAAATCGCTGCTGAACTTTTTTATATTACTTTCACACACATACGTACAGTATAGAAAAATCTATATTTTTTTCATAATTTCTCTTCATTTTGTTAATTAAATATGTGTAACATATCCTTCAATTTAATTTTTGCTCAAAGTTTAGGAATGTTACTACTATTCGGACCGTTCAGAGATATACCGCGATCGGTATGTTATCGACGACCTCGGTCAAGCGAAGAGAAATCTTGCGGGTGTATTGGACCAGGCAGATCCAGGCGCAGCAGCCGGTTGCGCTCGTAAAACCGAAAGCATTGTTAGCGGAGTGTCCAATGTTCGTTCGCTGGACGTTGTTAAGAGAACGAAGCAAGCGGCATACACATCTCACACAAACAGCATTCCACGCGCGCGCGCGAATACACAACACACTCACACGTACACGTACAAGAGCGAGATATCTCACGCTGTATCGTAAAGCGCGCAAATAAACCGAACTCAAGTCAAACGAGCGAAACTCAAACGAGAGACGGGGATACGGCGGCTGTTTTAGGTATTGCTGAGGGGCAGAAGGGTGATAGGAGGGGGTGGTTTTAAAGTCGTAAAACCGTGTCGCGAACGCCATAACGAATGCAATGCGGAAATTCGCTGGCTAAATCCCAGAACGAGCGAAAGAGAGCGAAAGGTAGCGATAGCGATAGCGAGAGAGAGAGAGAGAGAGAGAGAGAGAGAGAGAGAGAGAGAGAGAGAGAGAGTGCAGAGAGCGAAGGTTGAAGGTACAAACGGAGCGAAACAGAGAGGAGAGTGAACGGTCGAATGGTATGTAGGTATATATTCACCGAACTTTCTCGACTAATCCGCCGAGCTTTATGAAGCTCTTCTCGAGACGAGCATAAATTCACGTGAATCTGCTGTTGTAGACGACGGGGAACTGTGTAGAAAAGCGACCGTATTTTCCATCGCGCGCATTTGCGTCACGTTATTTTGGATTAGAGAACATGATAGGTACTGAGAAGAAAGTGTCTGCGAAGTCTGAGGGAGGAGAGAGATTCGTCGCACCTTGCGATATCCTTTATTTTACGAGAACCATTCATTCGTTAATTATCTCCTATATTTTTATCACGTTGGTAATATAATAAATTCGTGTCGTCTCAAAATATGATTTCAAGTCAGGGATTCTTCATTTCTGTGAACGCATTATTCAAATATGTATAAATCGTTGTGAATAACGCGGTGTGCTTGATCGTTATAATGAGAAGCGCAAGAAGCAGGTAGAAAAGGCTTAACAAGATAACACAAAACGCAGATAAAAAGAGAAAGAGAGAAGGAAAGGTTGGAGGTGAGGCTATCGTGACGATTGAAATTAATTCAGTTACGCAAGTATACGGGGATACGTGTGGTTAAAAGGCGACGTGTAACACAACAGAATCAGTGTCAAAACGGAAGGAAACGGTAGGAAACGGAAGTGAAAACGGCGTTTAACGGCGTGTTCTCCAACAATTAACGGACGATTGTAATGTTAGCTCAATCCAAAGTCCAAAAAGGAGGACGGTTATGCAGCGTACGTTTAAAGGAAGTAGAAGATGATGACAAAGATAGAAATATGCAAGTATACAGATAGATAGAAATATATGTATATATACAGGAACGAAGAGAGAAGTCAACTCAACATACGAGAAAATAATATCTCGCGCGGAACGTTCGTGTCGACGTCGTTCTACTGGTGCTTCGAATTATAGTTTTTCATTTAGCTAAAAGAAAAGCGTTCCCGTAATAATGGAAAAAAAATAACTGAAATTGTCGATTCGTTGATTATAAGATAATTGCAGTTAAATTATAATAATACTATTTTTTATATCTTATCTGATGATCTTAGTAGAGATTAATTCATTTGAGAGTTCTACAACGAAAAGTTAATTGTACGTTAATTCTAGATAAAAGATATCAAACTTGATTACTAGATTATTATTGTTATTATAATGAAATAATGAAAATGTACATTAAAGAAATCGAAATACCTTCCCGTGTTTTACCAATAAAAAAATTGTTATGTCTACGTTATTTAAGAATTAAGAATATACTGCACGAGCGTGAGAACTGACGGTTCTCACTAAGTAAGAATACACTCGATCCGGCAGAACGCACGTCACGAGGCGCACCCGCGCGACGAAAAACGAAGAGACAGAAACAGAACGGAACCGAAACGCAGGAGAAAACACTGGCGAAGAGGAAACGGAAAAGAAAAAAGGAAAAGAGAGTTAAGAGATCATACGCTGTATCACAAATACGTCGTGGTACAAAAAAAAGGAACCAAAAAAAAAGTGGAAGAGAAAAGAAATCAGAAGGGAGAAAACTCTCGTTGGGTTACTCTTGGCACGCACGAAAAAGAAGAAAAAAATCTTGGCTCTTCAAGTAAGTCGTCGGCTCTCACGGGGACTTACCATTCTTTTTTTGGACAACGACTTTGGCGGCGACTTTACGGGGGTTGCGGTATGCCGAACGATCGGAGTTTTGAGTGGTAGTAGTAGAAGTAGTAGTAGAAGTAGTAGAGGTAGTAGTAGCATAGTGTCGTGCCGAGATAGGAGGAGTCCAAGGCCAGTGTGATTGATACAAATATAATAGAGAAGGAGTACGATATAAAAGACAGTCAGTGCAACTTCGGGGGCGGGTGGGGTGGGGGGTTTTTTTGAGGGAACGGAGGGGCCGAGGGTGTCTTTATTGATCGAAACACCGGGACTCTCTTTTTTTTTTCTTTCGATCAGAGCGACCTAGCCGCAACAAGCCGGGAAAACGTTCTCTCGCGAGTGCGTTCTCTACGAAACGGCTTCAGTTTCAGTGGGAGGCGGTGAGGGGGCTGCTCGACTTTCTTTCGGAGCTTTTGGACTCGGGCCCGGTGGATGGATACTTGTTAGACCTGGTGGCCGCACTGTTTGTGCTGATACCGGACGGCGCGTATCGATCTGACCTTCCGACGTGCCGTGAATTGCAGGAATGAATTAACCCGGTGTCTCCTTCTCGGGCACACGTGGACGAATGTAAAATTAATCGGCGATAGCTAGCTGACACAAGTCGATATCTCGGACGTTGTAAAAAAATATATACGTCTTTAATCTTGAGGACTCGACGACGACGTTCGATTTATTCAAAGCGCCACAAATCGCGACGAGGAAAAAAAAAGTTGACTATTATCACAGGTCGCAAGGCTCCATCCGCCGGAAAAAGATTTTAATTTTTTTCTTTTAACTTTCCATACGTAGGGACGAAGGGGCAAAGTGATTATACATACACATGTGTGAAATATACGAGAAAGAAAAAGAAAGTAACAGAATAGGCCAGCGGGGGCGGGGATGGATATGAAATTGACACACGTGAAATTGAAACTGACTATGGAACTCGGACAGAGTGGTAGAGTCGATCGGAGCAAAACGAAATGACAAATAAAAAAATATCGATCTGGAGAATATTCCCGAATAACGTTGAAAAATAATTAAGACGAGGTGGAATGACGATTTTATATAGCGTTATATCTTACCCGATCGCTGCGATGCATGCGTGAATTAAATTAACGCGCGATGCGCAAGATGGCAAATGATGAATTTTTCAGCCCGATTAGATTCGAGCTGAAAAAAGTACTTTGAACTCGTAAAGCTCAAGACCCTCGCGAAGTACTTATACGTGCTTTGAAAAACAAGCAAAGGGATCGTGCCATCTTGAACAAACGTATGGAGACAGGGTGAAGATGCTATGAGTATAATGATGCAGAAAATCAAAGTCTACCGTTGAAGATGTAAAAATCCAGGCTATGTGCCGTCGAGACACGTTGAATATGTATTACACACATACATGTTTATACGTAATCGGGAAGTGAAAATAAAAATGCCAAGAAGAGCAGATATGGAGCAGATACGGAGAGAGAAAGAGAGAGAGAGAGAAAAAAAGAAAAGAAAAAGAACCTCGTACCTCGATGCGAGAAATTGTGAGTACCGTGAAACAGATGGTCAAAGATAAAGAGAAAAAATATATAGAAAACTAGTAAATATATATATATATGTACACACACGTATATATTACGCGCATGGATATCATACAGAACGGAAGATAAAGAAGAAAAGAGAGAAGAGATAGACGCGAACGTACGTACGTATTTTCTTCTTTCAACAAATACGACGTTACGGATAAAGGAAAGAAAAAAGAGAGAAGACAATAATAAAGAAAGAAAAAATACGGAGGAAGAGAAAGAGAGATAGAAAGAGAAACAGAGAGAAAGAGAAACTCGACATCGAGAAACTACTATGAAAATAGCTAAAAAATTAATGATAATCAATGAAGCTCTTAATCGTGTGACGTCTAGAAGAATCGAGCGGCGTTTCTTACCATCTGTCCGTGCAGCGAGTGAAAATGCAAACAGAAAGAGAATTCAAGATTTGTCTCTGGAAGTTACAAGAGTGAGATCGTGGGGGAGGTGAGGTGATAGAGACATATTTTTTTTCAAATCGACAAACTAGTTTTTCGATGAATATTTGGGAAATTGCGCGCCAATCATATTTTTTTTCTTAACTTCCGCTCGAGAAGGTGAACTTTATTCAAGAGAGGTGCGCGAACATCTAATCATGTGAGTCGGGATATCTATGAGAATATTTAGAATACGTAGAATTCGCAGGTGCCGTCGAAATCGAACGATCGAAGAAATTGACGATGGAAATTAACCGGCGGATCGATCGTGCGCGTGAAATTTGTCCGTTAGGCGAACTAAAAAAAAAAACACGCTGAAGCTTCGCCGCTTTCGTTCAAAATCGCGTTAAATTAAAAGCGATCGAACGAAAAATTAACGGCATGTTTCAACTTTCATCGATGGGATGAAAATGAACAGTCGAGCAATTCTTCGCAAAATTTGCGCTCACCGTTATCCAATCCGGGCGCACGTGCACGATCGATCTTCCTTTTTGGCGGAGAATGCGACGATTCATAGAACGGGAATGGGGGAATCCCGATTCATTTTTCATCGTTAGATTGTCCAACTCTTTTCTATCGGTTCGGCACGCGGCAGGACATGAAGGATGAATCCACGCATTCTCCCCGTGCACTCCGAAGATGACGTGGCCTCTCTTAGATCGTGTCGGAGCTTGTAAGAGATTCCAGATATTAACGGTATGTCGAGCCCGTCTTATCGTGCACTCGTTCGTCCAGCTGTCCTCGAAATGACGGATAAGATTGAAACCGTGTTTCATCTCTCGCCGCGACTATCTGAACGCGACTCTCGAAACGAAATGAATTTACCGAAGATGAGATTTAATCAAGAACCCGATTGAAGGAACTGAAAAAACGCATTTTCACAATCGAAAAATATCGATGTGGATTTAACACCGTACGGTGCCTATACACAATTTTTGCAATAAATTCAAAGATTTTCATTATCAGATTATTAATATTCTTATAAAGAATTAATATTCTTATAAGAATGCTTATTAACATAAAAAAATTATTAAATTGATTGTCAATTTAATAAATATTACTGCTCTGATTCTGCTCATAACTGCATTTCAAGATCAAAAAAGATTTCAATGCGCGATATTTGCAGAATCAGATATATGGTACTATAAATTCATACAGAGATATCTAAGATTCGCTTTGACCGAATATACGATTTTTCTTATTTAGTTCTCACTGTGTTAATGTTAACACTAACATGATGTAGATTTAATACCATGGATTTTAAATTCACATCAAACGTAAATGTTAATATTAACACGGTTAGAATTATATAGATAAGCGTTCGATACTTTGATTATATAATATATTAGTAAAAATGATTAGATTAATAAATTAATTGACTCTTTGTAGTACTCTATATTTGCTTCTTGTCGGCCTTATTTTTCACATATTGTTTTTTTCTACAGGCATCACGATGTTAAATCCACATTGATATCTTTTAGTGCACGATTGTTTTCATGCGATTGCATAATCGCAGATCTCTTAATAAACGAGCTTTTCTAATTTCTGCGAGATGGTTGAGATGAGAACGGCTGTTTCTGTCGCGTATTTAACGAACGCGATGATTCTCGTTTCGTGCCTCTTTGCACGATTTTCGTATTAGACAAGTAAAACTCAGACACCGTAAAACTCAAGAATAACCCCGAAATAAAAAGGATAAAAGAAGACTCTGATCACGATATAAGAGCGACCAGTCTGAGAGCCGATCTTGTTCGAAACGTCTGCAAAGTAATAGTGTGTATACGGATTAAGGTGGGAAATAAATAAGAGCTAGATGATAGAAATTACCTTCCTCGAGTGCATCATCACCGTCACTCATCAGCTCGTCGTCCGAGCAAATGTTCAGCACGTTCACCAACATTTCTGTGACTGAAAGATAAAGTAAAAAAATCATCCATTAAATTCCGAGTAAAGCACATCTTGCAATGAACTGAACAAATTATCTCGAAACATTTCATTAAAAAAAATCAAGATATACATATTTGTATCTCTTTTCCATTTATAAATATATATATATTTTTTATTACATAAATATTTTTTTCATATTTTTTCTTCTAAACATATAAATCGATTTATATTCAATTATGAACATTAGAGAGCTTGTTACTATGTTACTAAATAAGATATATCGTGTGGAAAAATACTGTAAACAAATTATATGTACATATAACAATTTTAATTAGTAATTTTGACAATTATAAGTAATTTTTATTTTATAATGAGTAATTTATGTGTGCATGAGTAAACAGATATACATTTTTAATAGTGAGTCAAGTGAGAAAAATTACTTATTTGATAATATTTACACATATACACACGTAAAGTCACAATTAAAAAATACAATTATAATTTGTTATAGAACATTAAACAATTTGCAAAGGTAAATTTACAATTAAAATTAAGTTTACACAAACATTTATATATTGATTTGCCAACAATTCGCAAAGGTAAATTTACAATTAAAATTAAGTTTATACAAACATTTATGTATTGATTTGCCAACAAATTAGATACAATTTTTTTTAAGCTATGTTATTGATACAAACATAAAAATGCAATATAATATGCAAATATAATATGTATATATTACCATTAAGTTATGAAATATTACAAAAGTTTGTACATTTATACATAAGAAACTATAAAATATATTATTGTTTTTGTGTCTAATATAAAGATATATTTACATAATTAGAAGTAAAAGTTTAATTTTTGTACACTGAAAAAAAAGATTGGCTTCTGCAGCAAATTAGATGGTAAAATATGACATAGCATTTTTAATTGGCTGCAACAGCCAATTTTTTGTTGTGTTAGCCTATCCACAATGTCAGTATAGAATTTCGATTGGCTAACGCGACCAAAAATTGGTTGCTGCAGCTAATTAAAAATGCTATGCCATATTTTAAGATCTAATTTGCTGCAGCAGCCAATCTTTTCTTTCAGTGTAAAAACGAACAATTTTATATATTTCTACTATAAATTGTGTAATTTTTATACATATTATTTATGTAATTTTATATAATTACTTTTTTTTACAGTATATAATAATTTTTAACTTTAAGAGCAAACTTGTTGGTCTACAACTTACCTTTCTCGCCAACAAACGGTAGGGACCATGTGAAAACGTCCATGAAATTGGGCAACCAGTATGGGTGTGGCGAGCAATTGAACTGCCTGATATTCATCACGTTGTTCTCGTACTTTAAAACCGCTGCCTGCAAGCACAACGAGCACATCGGGTCTTTACGATTGCAGACCAGTGGTCCACAGGTCATAAAACGAACAACGCGCGCCCCGCACTGACCATAAATGTGCGACATTAAATTAATGTCGAAGTTTACGGTTATTGCGACTGGCGCGATGCGATTCGTGCGCTATTGGCTTTTACCTTGTTGTTGTACACGTCGAGATAGTTGGGCGCGCTAAAGATGGTGATGAGCGACGGGAAGCCCGTCGTCTGAGACTTTCGATACATGCGATATCCGGCGTCTTGAGCCTCGTGCGCCCTTATGATGCTGAGCAAATTGTTGTTTTGCAGAAAGTCGCAACACGCCGCGTAACTGTAAGCAGACATTATCGATCGACCGCTTAAAGATTAGGAGAGAGCTTGATTGCCGATAATTACTGTTAAGAGAGTTATCCGAGCGTACGAGCGAGCACGTTAATTCGCTTATATTATTAAATTTACTTAGCACTAATGAATAATGGAAATTGCCGTGATAGAGTAAATGACTCGCCTTTAAACATTTTAATAGAATGCCAAATTTTTAAACATTTTAATAAGACGCTTTCTAAGTAAATTCCACAGGAAAAGGAGAATATTACGTTTTTCGTTTAACCTGAAGAAGTTCTACGATGTGCAAATTATATGTATAGCATATTAATTATAATTAATAGTTTAATAATTATTAACGAATTACTTAAGCGAAATTGAATGGTGTATCTCTCTCATTTATCTTGGGGGAAACGTCAGGATCATAAGAGAAATTGTGATAAAAAATAATAAACGTACTAACGCACATTTATTAATAGTTGTTAAATAAGACATAAAAAAAAGACATCCTAACATCACAACAATGAAGTTAAAACAATTTAACTCAAGAAAATATAGTTGGACTTAAATTTAATTAATTAATTTATTAAGTTCAAACATTAATATGGACAATGTTTACTTTGAAAACTTACCACAGAAGTGGATTGATTTACATTTTGATGCAGATGAAAGTTAAAAATAACAAAATGTTATTTAACTCAAGAAATTTGATTATTTGATTCCATTGATTTTGGTTCCTTTGATATCTAACGGTGCATAAAACAAAAACTTTCAACATTTTCGCCTCTGGGGTGTAAAAATACCCCAGTTTAAGTAGCTCTTTAGTATGATGTATAATTTGTACACCATGGAACTTTTTTATGTTAGCCGAAAACAGCCAAAACTTAATATTCCCCTTTGAAGTGTGTAAATTTCATAAGCGTTCGTGAGGCAGCCGCCGACGGGCGAATATTCATGTTGGGAAATTCGTGTATCTTAAAATCGCGACCTAGATTAACGTCGTAACGCGCTTTTGGCACATGCATTGGAAACAATTGCACGGGCGCCAAATGATCAATCTTAACTTGTCGAGAACGACTCGTACAACTTTTTGTATGCAATTCTGTGAATTTATACAAAATTGTTGGAGTGTTCTAAATATTGAAGTCGAGTTAATTTCTGAGATTATTCGAAGCTTCGGCATAGACTACTACGTTCGCTGTTAATGCAAGTTAGAGGTATTCGAGTCTTTTATGCGATATAGTAGCTTTTAATGTCCATTTATCCCTGCTAATCGTACGCTGCACTGGATGACGGACGTCATTGGCGTGCCGACTTTCGAAGTTCACATAAACAAATTATGCCGAAAACGTCAACAGGACGACCCTTTTCTCACGAGCTTAACTGACTCAGCCAAGAATCGTGAGAAATGTTTGCGCCACGTCGCGGCATGGTCGTTAACGGCCATTAAGACCCGTTCATAGCGCCGACAGAGATTAATGACGAGGTGAAATCTCTCGAAAACCGCCAATGTGGCCGGTATCGATCTCTGAGTCGTTGAATCTTTCGATACGCACACACCCCTAGTGCGACGATAAGGTGATTTATTTAACGATAGGATGTTATATTGCAGGGCGCAAGATGTGTTCCGTTTTCTCGTCGTAACAGCGTACAGCCATTTCGGATCATTAAAGGATGGCAGGGAGTAATCAGCAGCTTCATTACGAGTCGGACGTTGGGGAAGAAAGGACGAGTAGTACGAGTCGCGGTGTAGTCGGACGACCGCCGGCGATTACAGCCGGACTACTTGCATACTGCTCGAGACGCGAGATGTGATTTATGTTCGCGTGAAACTTAATGCACGTATCTATCCAGGAACGAGACACGATAATGCGAGAATCGAAAATAAGGAATTAACGGACCTGCGCGGCGCTATCTAGAACGTCTTCATAACGGCTACCATTATCTTATCGTGATCGCGATCGCCTGTGCCACATTCACGTATATATCAATGAACAACTTGATTATGAAAATCACCTCAATAAATCAGCTTTCTAACATTCCTGCCGCTGCTACTCGAGAAATACCGACACGTACACGGTTGGCTTCGTTGAAGTATTTAAAAAATTAACTAGATGCAGATCTGAAAATACATTTGTTGGTTTTTCAAAATAATTATGTAGGACGTTCAAACTGATTGTTAAAATGTTAAAATTGTTCGTCTCGCTTGAGCTTCCTGCATAATTATTTTAATAATCGAACAAAATTATTTTCAGACTTGTATCTACACTGAAAAAAATGCATGTAATTTTAAATGAAAATTACATGTCTATGACCGGAAAATTATCTAAATATGATTGGAAATTTACAATTTCCAATGAATTTCCAATCATATTTATGTAATTTAAGTAATTTTCCAGTCATAAATATGTAATTTCCATGTAAAATTACATTTTTTTCAGTGTAGTTAAATTTTTAGATACTTCAGCAAAATCGTTCTTTCCGTGCACGATTCTTCGCTGACGTAACGTGCTGCGTCAACATTAAATAGAGAAGTATAGAAAATAAAAGCACAATACAAAATAATTCAGTAAAAACACAATATTAAAAAATTTAAATTAAAAATTAAAGACTTAACAATTAAAGTTTAAAATAATATTAATTATGAACTGTAATAATATAACTGATGTAACATTATTAATGAGTATTAATAAAAATAAGTGTAACAGGAAAAACAGATGTCTGATTACATATTTTAATTTATTCTTATTATGTATATGTAATATTGTATGTAGTGATTTAAAGAAGATAAATTTAAATTTTATAGTAAAAAATATTCTGTTATTTACGCTATAATTAATTCCACATTTTAAAAAAGCTGTCAGGAGGCGCCATGTCAAGTATAAAACTACAACAGTTAAACAGCTTAAATACGGAATTTTTTGTGATATTAAAAATATGATTGAGGAACAGTAATTTGACATCTCCCGACGTCCGTGTACATTTACGACAACCTTATTTTTTAAAGCCTTTTCCACGATGCCAGAAATCGCTTCAAGATCTGGACGGAGAAAGAATTTATTATTTTTATTAAAGAGCGTTATAAAGAATTTATTAATTGCATTGATCAATTGGTCGAATTTTGTTCAAATGTAATATATTAATTCCTTCTCCATCTGAGATCTCGATTTTTGATGATCGTGGACACAAGGGGGTTTTAAACTAACCTATTTTATACTACTTGTCACTGAGATGTCTTACAACTGTGAGTCACTAAAATTTTCCACATAAATGCTTTCAATGCATATAATTGGTTAATCATTTTATTTCTTAACTCATTCAATAGTCAATGAGAGAATGTGTATAGATGAAATATCATTTTTTAATTTTTTTTAAACAAAAAAATTAATGACAATTATACATTGGAAAAAGAAATTGGTTGCATCAATTAGAATGGACAAATTAGAATTTTCTGGTTGATTCTATTATAATTCTAGTGAATTCTCTTGAATAACCAGAATTTTGATTGATATGGTTAGAATCTTCTGATTTGTTCATTTTCAATCAGAAACTTTTTTCAGTGTAGGTACGTTTTAAACTATTTTAAACTAAGCTTGGTTAATAAAAAAAACTTGTGTGCTGAAATTGATATCAGATTATGTTGTAATTACCGAGAAATAACAATTAACAATTGAATCGATCTCAGTAAAACACACATTCTTTTTGTTGCACCAACCTTCAGTTAGCAATAATCAAGAGTAATAATAAATATGTTTAACAGGGTTGCCACAGAAAATCAATTTTAAAATTCCCTGACTTTTTCAGGTTTTTCAGATAAAAATGGGAAATTTCCATGATCAATATAAAACATGTAAAAATTTAAAAATAATAAAATATGTAAAAAATTTTAACTTTTAGAATCAAGGATTGTAAGAAAGCTAGTTTATATTATTAAAAACGCAAAAGAAGCTTAATAGCATAATAAAACTTTGAGGACAAATTCAAGTCAACAAAAAATAAATCAGTTTTGGAAAAAAGAATGCAGTTATGACGAAAAAGAGCGATCAAATAAAATTATTGAATAAAACATAAATTTTAATTATTTTAAAAAAATCGTTTAAAGTGCACGAATTTTGAACGTATTTGATTATAAACATCAAATATAATATTTAAAAAATTATAAAAATTATTTGGAATAGAAGCAGTTTAAGGAAATTGTGAGCAAAGTCCAAAATTCCAGTCTCTTTTATATATATTTTCCCTTGATTTTTCCCATGATGGGTTTTCCATGATCAATTTCAATTTCTCTGTTTTTAAATAAAAGTTGTAAGGTTTTTCCTTCCCGGTTTTCTAGGTCTGTGGCAATCCTGTTAATACTGATTTGTTACTTAAAGCTCGCATAAGATCGCGGAGAAATATAAAACGCGTTTTTTCCGAATTATTTTTAATTTATTAATCTCAGTTTACTTCATCGACACGTACATAAACGTGATGAACGAATAGGTAGCAACGAGCACGCGAAACGGCTGACACTTAACGAATCTCGGTTCTCATTAGCGTGGCCGTTCGTATAATTAGCGGATCCGCGAGAGAAGCTGTCATGTCTGCGGTTTGCTGACATCGTCGTATAACACGGTCATTATTAATCCTCGCACGGGGCAAACCGCGGATGTGTCCATAGACGCTGACAAAGAGCGATGCGACGAGGGACCAAACGTGACGTCTGTAGTAAGATTTGGCGGAGAAGGAAAATCTCTCAGACATAGAAGGGTCGGAGGAGCCAAAGTTATCTCGTTTCACGCTGTGTGATCGTGCGAGGGATGTAGCCAATGCGCTTCCGGCTGCATTGCTCGCAAACAGACGGCGAGATAATTACCCGTTGGAGGGAGTTAACGGGTTGGCTAGAAAGGAAAAACGAGAACCGGCCGACGACAGCCGCGAGGATGTATCGCACAAGCATATCGTATTTCTACGGTAAAAAGAACTCCAACTACCGCCGAGCAGTGATAGGGTGTTGACCTCGTTTTTTTCTTTTCTCCGCTAATATGTCCTTTATTATTACGTTAACACCGTGGTATCGACGTGTCCCTCCGATATATCGACGATCCCGACGAAAAGTATTGTAATTGCATTTTCTGATATTTCCAATTTTATTGAATCCTTTTTTAATACTTTTTTTATTGGCAGTATGGCTTAATGAAATATCGTTATTTCAATCCAGATAATTTTGTTTGTACATATGTATATTATAACTGATAAATGAAATACTTTTGGAAAGAAAAAGCTGTTGCATTATACATGTTTCTTAAATTTCTTTTGTCAATTGTTCGACTTAATTTAGACACTAATTACATATTTTATAGGAGTAGTAAAAAATAAGTCTTCTGAAAAGAGTTCAGAGACAAAAAAAGATATAATATGATCAACCACACTGTTTCAGTTAGCTTAAAATAGACTTTATTTTAATAAAATTTTAATTCGAGACTGGTTATGTAGGACGCTCAAATTGATTGTTAGAATAAAAAGCATTTTTGCAGCATTGTTATCAACGTTTAAGAATTCTATATAATTATTTTGATGATTCAATAAAATTATTTTCAGATTTGTATTTAGCCAAATTTTTAGATATCTTAGCAAAACCGTTCTTCCCGTGTGATATTTAATTTACAGTGCTTTTCTCCATTTTATAGAAAAATCCAATTCCATTCACAGAATATAATAAAAAATTTACATATAACATTGAAATAAGTAAGAAAAATCCGATTCTGCATGTCCAAATTCATCTAGTCGTATGTTAGAATTTCTATTACGCATGTTACGCGTAATTTAACAAGTTAAAAAAAAATTAAAAAGAGGTGGAAACGGACACTCACCTGTAAAAGTATGAACAACCCCTGACGCTATTGTGGGAAAAGTGCTCCGCGTTCTTTTCGTTGCCGAAATCCTCGAGAGGATCCGACCAGAGGAGATCACACATTGGCCCGAACGCCGGCGGCTCTTTGAACCTGTCCAGCTGGAACAGCAAGTCAACATTGATCGAATTAGTTCAAGGAATTAACTGATAGCACATCGACTGACGCAAATGCAGCGTAATTTTCAGCGTAATTGTATGGGCCATTGTTGGCTTTACCGAATTCACAATGTGGTTGGTCAGTCAGTTTGCACTTTGGATCGTATCCTATTCGGAGGTTTAGTTGACCATTATACGTTACACGCAAAATTTATGTGGTACTGATTGGTCCAGGTTAATCATGACGGCTTTATTCACATTGATCGCATCCGTATGTGATTCTTAGTGAGATCCTAAAGTGAAGCAAATTACCGACATTCGTAATTCTAAAACATCTTCGAATTATATTGCCTTTACAGAATTACCAAATTCTTGTACATGATTAAAGTACTCACAAAAATAGCTATTGCAAACATCGGCTTTGTAACGAAAAAGATTAACCCTTATAATACAAGATACAATTTGGTGCCTCATTCGTACAAATTGGATCACTAGAATCCGTCTGTTTTTCTCACCTATTCAGAATGGTTCAAAAAAATCTCTAAAAATTCACCAACATACTTTCAACTTTTTAGAATAAATATTGAAACTTCATTTTGGAAAATAATAAAATGTATAATTTATAATTACCGAAAGACTCAAAGAAACTTGCACGAATAGGAATCGCTCGGTCACTAGTGACCCGACCTTGTACGATAAGAGTTAAACATATCACTTATTTTTGCACGTACAGCAACTGTCATTCGACAATATCTGCTTAATACAAAAATTCTACAATTTATGCATACAAAATAAGATGATCTCGCCAAAGAGAGCATATCGTACACGGACAATATCGTGTAATGGAATTATGATTAAAAGTCCAGAAAAAAAAATTGTTTAGAATTACGTTTTATAAATATAAATAGAGCAACACTGCATGTATCAGTGGTTCTGGATCTTGCAAGATATAGCGCTACATGCAGTATTAGATAAAAACAGATGTTTGAGTGAGATACAACGATAGTGTGAGAAATTGAATTAAAAACACCACTATTATCGATATTTTTAGTTTTGAATTAAAATCTGTTTTATCAACATTGTTAGAGTTTGGCCTTTGCTTTAGGATCTCTTTAAGGGGATCCTAAAGCCGCTTGTATTACCGACTAATCATAATTTTTGTTTAACAATTACTTTTTTCCTCTTTTATAGATTCGAAAATCCTTTTCCAGGATTAAAGTATATGCATTAATATGTGTCTGTGAGGTGGAGTTTATTTCGAGAACGACAAAAATTTTTCTTAAGATCTCAATTTCGAAATTTTTTGTCGTTCTCGAAATAAACTCCACCTCACAGACACATATTAATGCGTATACTTTAATCCTGAAAAAGGATTTTCGAATCTGTAAAACAGGAAAAAAGTAATTGTTATACAAAAAAGACAACTTTAATTTTGGAAAATTTTTTTTGTTAGGCTTTGGATCACAATTTCGAAAGCTCAGGATTGTTTGTGCATGTCATACGCTTCCGAGGAAGGTATCATTTGGTATGTACGACCTATAAAATTTCTGCACTAAGAGAATTATAACCTGAGGTGAGAGAGAGAGAGAGAGAGAGAGAGAGAGAGACAGCTGCAAGAGCTGAAATAAAATGAATTTTTTATTTTTTCTTCAATTTTCTCGTCAAATTTAATGTGGCCGGTGTTTTTTTTTATGCGTACTTTTATTGTGTAAAAGGATTTGGTGATCTATAAAGCCAATTCGAAGAAATTGGCAATCTGTGATTTTCAGTAATTCCTGTTGGTTAAGGATCTCCTTAACGTTTAATTTCGATTTTGCTGAATCACTGTCATAGCAGATTTATATTGCCACTTTGATAGTTACGAGATACCTTGATGTCTGAAAGAGAGAGATATAAACGATAATCTGAACTTGGAATTGAATTATAATTTGACAGCGATTTGACAGCGTCGAAACGTGTATCGAACGCCACAGAATCTCGAGGGCGGTAACTCTGCTGCGAGTTTACGTATCATGACAGCGCCAAACAAGGTAAACGTAAGCCGGATCGTCTGTAGATTGCATTAATTAGGCTACCGAGCCTGACAACAATGTGCTCACCGCGGATTTCCAAATGTCTATTGGTTGCCACTAAATCGTTAAGTACTAAAATCCAATGTTGTTAGAATGGCAACGGACAGATGCTATCGTACTGATCTTACTCGACATCTATTTGACATCATGTTACATATATTGCTCCCTTACTTCAAAAGTGACATACTTTAAAAATTCAGTTTCCTAGAAAAGAGAAACTATTTTTCAATTTGATAGAAGAAGATTATTGAGTAATCAAATAATATCGGCAAAAAAATTTCTTTAACAAGATCAAGTTTCATTTTCGTTTCACGACTCTTAAGGTTAATCTACAATGTGTTGTTTCCTCCTGTTTCTGCTTTTTTTCTCTTGCTTTTTTCTCTCCTCGTTTTATTATATATATATAACGAATGATTGTGTTTCTTGTCACGTATTTCTTGTGTCTTCCAAAGTTCGTCAACTTTCCTCTTGGACGACAGAGGACAAAGAAATAGAATAATGTCGCTAGAATTGCGATAAATAATCAGTACGACACTTTATCTCCAAGTGTCATGCTGTGTTTAATATTTAAGGTGTATAAAAAATTAGTAATTGTTAGAATTTTGTTTTAAAATTGGAACCTACGAAAAGTGATAATATTTATTGTTTTCTTCTACTTTAGAGGAGGATGTATCATGCCAGATTCGCGAAGTTACCATACATTTTCATTTTTGGTTTTTTGTATAATTATTGTTATGTAGAACTGTAGAACTATGAAAAGTGCTAATGGAATTGTAATTGTTTTTTTTATATTAATATAATGTACTAATTTCACAGATCCCAATCCTGCAGAGAGATTATTTATTTGACAGTCACTGAGCAGCTACGAAACTCTGAAAGTCATGAAGCATTCACAAACGCGGCGCGATTTATCCTCGAGCCGCACCGAGAGTCGAGCCACTCCCCTCGAATCGATGTTAAGACTCGAAAACGTAGACGGTGAAGTTTCGCTCTACGGACGAACAGGTTTTCATGCAGAGTGGATATCGAAGAGCATGGAGGATGAAGAGAGCGCGCAAAGACAGAGTCTCGCCGCAACGAGAGATCTCTCAAATATTTGTTCCGTTGATCTAATCTCCCTGAGAAAAGTCCGCCGGCGCGATCTCGTACCCATCAACTCGGCTACCTTCGGAAATCGCGTTTAATGACTTCCATGAATATGAATGGCTTCAAAAGAAGAGTAGATAGGTATTTCGCGCTACGCGAAACGTCTCGTCATCGCAAACACACTCCCTTCTCTTTCTCTTTCACTGGTTTTCCTGGGACGCAATCAACGCGGATAAAATATTGAGAATTAAGATCGCGAGATTCGGTTTATGTTATTTAACTCCGGAATGCTATTGATACGTAAATTTTATGTAGATGCGAGTAAAGCCGCTAAAACTATGTTTTTAGTCATTACGAAGTCCGATCTGCCATGTCAAAAACTAGGACAAGTGGAGACAAAAAAATTCTATTTTTAAAAATTCTGTCCGTTATATGTCAGTTTGGATTCCCTAATGGTCGGTATTATAACAGAAAGCGTGAGTTTTAATTTTTAAGCAGTTTTTTGTGTTATCACATATTTTATTTAAGTGTTATGAGGAGACACACACACAACTGGACTACATATCTATAACTTCATATTATTTGAAGATTAAATTTTATAATTCGTTCTTTCTTTTTAAGTTAATAAATAAGTTATTTGTATTTATAAAAGTCTAGATTATAAATATTAGATCATTAAAAGTGTGAGGTGTATGAAATATTTGTGTTGCATTAATTAAAAATGACCTATTTCCTCATACGTAAAATTTACGATAGCAATACCATATCTGAGGGGGTAACCACTAGCTGAAATATTGTCCCACAGATTACATAATATGAAATTATGTAATTCATATCTGATTACAAATAACTTTTTTCACTACATATGAAGCCATTTGGTAAATATACGATTTTATTTAATATTATACAATTATTTCTCGTAGTTGCATATGTAATTATCGGATTATACATAGATATTTCATATTTTATAATGATTTCGAGGACTCTGTCCCACAATTACATACGTCTTATAAGTTAGCGGAACAAAATGAGCGGAATCGATTCTAACTAACATTTTTATTTGTTGCTCATTTGTTGCTAAAAAGTTGCCAAAGAAAAAAATTTGTTGCTCTGTCGGTTTATTTAAAAAAACGATGTTTCGCTAAAGGAAGATTCAGTTAGCGGAACAATACCTACAACAAAGCCAATCTACGCAGAAATAACGTAGGAATTTGTTG